CTGAATTTTTGAGTAGTTATATTCTAACCGATCAGTAGGGACTAAGTGTTTATTACATTTTAGGTATCTCTAGTTTAAATGTTTAAATCTGAACCAATCTGTAAAGGCTCCCCTTATCATTTTCTTTAATGGGAAATTTATCTGGCCAAATCAAAACTCATGTTTTCCCCTACTACTAAATGGAGACAAAATTGATTAACTCAGAGGCAGAGATCTACACTTCATCAGACTAATCCCATCCATGGGTCTTTTCTCAAATCTTTCTAACCATAGTAGTACCCTGTGACAGTGTCTGCACTGGTGCTCCTCTAGCTGTTCTGGAGGGGACTTCTTGTTCAATATTCTCTTGGTCCTTAGTAATTCATTAAATGGGGTTGTCATGGGGATACAGTCCTAGGGTGGCCTTGCTTCCTTTCTCTCATCCACTCATGCACAGTGTGCACTGTACACTCCTTCATGCAAATAAGTTCCCAGCAGAGTCGCTTGCCATTAGCACAGACAGCTCTAGAGGCAAAAACAAACAGAATTTGTCAGGGAGAACTCTGTCATTAAGGAATTTTGTTTGCACCCCTGCAGTGATTCATAGTGCACTTGACTGCTTTCTGCCTACCTCTTCACATCTTTTTTTTGTTTGTTTTGTTCACAAAGCGAAAAAATGTCATTTTTTTGTGCCTTTTCTCCAATTACAGATTTTACTGATATCATACCAGAAAGCTGGTTTCAGCTCTTGGCAAACTGGTAGAAAATAGAAGGATTTCCTGAATGTCATCTTCGTTCAAACACTGATAAAGTGCAGCCAAAGCAGGGAAGACAAACAAAAGATTTAAAGCATTGCTGGAGAAGGAAAAAAAAAACAGCAAGAAACCACAGGCTGGTTGTAACGAATAAGTGAATCTGGACAACTATCAGCACTTATGCCATGTTTTCACAGTGAAAATATATATACACATGTGACTTTGGTGAGTATGTCATGTTTGAATATGAGGATAAGTTTATGTGACACAATGTGGAGAGATACTTGATTTACTGTGGGCACCCTATGAATCTTAGAGGAATGTTTTCCCAGGAGTGCCAGGAGAGCATTTGGATGCTCTTGTCCTTGCCTGATATCTGAACTAACCCAGGTATCTCCCTACTAAGCTGCTGCACAGCTCTACACATGCTGTGACTGTCTATCAGGTCCCACTAGCTTTGTTGCAGTTGAGGTCTGTTTAATAATTCACTGGTTCCAGCACTGACCACCCAGCCAACACCAACTCAAACAAAGCCACCAGTGAAGCTCCCACTTGATCACTGACAGGCCCAGTCCCTGTCACATCTGCTGCTTGAAATGCCCAAATTTTTACACTGTGAGCACTACAAAATCTTCGGTTTACTTTCAACTGCTGAAGGAAAGAAAATAACCTACCATCCATGAAATATTCAAACACAGCTTTAAAAACATTAGCCCCACAGAAATATTTGTGTTATATAAAGTGTTCCTCATGAAACAGTGGGAGATCTGTCTGAAATTAGCAAGAATTACAAAACCTCCCACTCTGAGGTGAAAGGATGAAGCAAGGTTATAATTATATAAATGACTATGGGGGAAACAGTTGCTCTGTATAGAGTGTGGGATCCAAACCGTGTCAAACACTCTTTGGAGGCAGCTTTCCTGAAGCCATGAATTTGTTCCTTTTTTTTTTTTTTTTAGCTCTTTTTGTCTCTTAAAGCTCCAGTCACTTCCCAAGGGAGATTTCCACCCCAGGGGTACACCCTGCCTGTACTCCCAGAGCAAGGAATTCAGGTACTCTCTAGTCTGGGCATGATTTGGTGGCATCACTCTCTTTCACCCTCTTTATATTCTCACTCTCTTTCATCCTCACTTCATTGGTGGGATTCTTAGTGTGGACCTGTAACACCTGCAGAAGAACTGAACTACAGGGTTTAGATATTTTTAGGCTCCACAACCATGTTTACCCAGGATAAACTGGGTATCCCAGTAAACAGGATAATCCCAGGATTGCGGGACATGTAGCAACAGAAACAAACAGAAATGTGACCTTTGAAGGGTTCTAAACTCCAATTGTGTCTTACATCAGCTTGCCTCAAGAAATACACAAACACATAAAAATATGGCACCTGCACACATTATTGATTAAATTTCCTAATCCTTCTGAAGTAATCCCTGCACCAACAGCAAGGTCTTCCTCTTACACATGGCTTCCCCTCTGTGTCAAACAGTGTCTGTTGCCTTGGCTTTCTCTTCTACAATATCTGCATTTAGAACTTGTTTTCAGTTTCTCATCAGCCCCCAGAAAGGGCATCTCTTGCAGAACCATTTCCCACTTTTGTCTTCTCTCCCCATTTGCACACACCCCTTTCCCTAATCAGTCTGCACTCAGATCAGCTGACCGAACTCATTTTGTGGCCAAGGCATTCCTAGAGCCACGTGAACTGTGGGGACATGGGGCCTGGGCTGAACCAAGGGAACTCTTCCCCTTTCTGCATGGCTGGAGCTTAAACTGAACAGAAAACCACACCAAGGCTGTGTAAGATTCTGCTTCCCACTGAATGCCTGCACATCTTTGCCATAGAATTATACACAGGAGCAATTACAGTTGCTATTGGGGAAAACAAACAAACGAAAAACCAACCAACCAACCAACCAAAAAACAACCCCCAAAAAACAACAACCCACATGCCGAGCCAAAACATGCTTCTTTTTTTTTTTTTTTTTTTCTTTCTGGTTTTCCCTCTTCCTTTATGTACATTTGAAAATTCAACAGTGAATGCTAGCAAACCTCAAATTCACACACCTATGACCACTGCACATCTAAAAGAAACTGTTAGGTGCCTACAGCCTTGGTCCTCAAAAAACATTTCAAAGGACAGACTGGAGCAGAAGTATCCTTATTGTAAGGGAAAAGATGTACAGGCCCCTAATACTGCTGTCATAATGAGTGCTGACATTTAAACAGCAACCAAAACAAGACTTGACCCTGCAGTGTTCCCACAAATATCACTAGTCACCTACTCAAACTCACTAAAATCAAATGGAGTTGCTCTCTCATGACTGCAGATTTTAGGATCAAGTCCTTGGTGGGAAAAAAAAAAAATCTTTCTTTCTCGAAGTAACGTCGTGCTCCACTCATGCTAATGAGCATATTCAATTGTAGCATGACAGAGCTTGTAGTATAAACATGAAGTCTGTAATTTTAAGGCACTGAACTGTTATTAAGCCAAATATCTAAGGTATTTTAATTTAAAACTTCAAAGAATACCTAGTTGGGCAGTAGGCATTCTTGCCATTAATTAAAATACAGTTGATGAACAAAGCACAGTCCATAAAACCATGCAACTGAAAACCCAGCAGTTGTGACCCATCACTCTGGTACAGTGGAATTAGAAGAAACCAAAGAAGCTATAAAAGCACAGCTTTCAATCTGAAAAATCCTTAAAGTTAAATCTGTGTCACACCCTGCCCCCCTCACCATTCTAGAACTTGTCAAAAGTGCTTATCATCAGAGGTGGCTTGTCACCAGCTCTGTGAATTTTGGTGGCATGAATTTCTTCGAGTTTTAAGGGATTTAAATGATGCAAAAGTCCTTCATACAATTGCACAAGACTGGGAGTAGAGGACCTTTACTGTTTCAAGGAAGTTAAGGTTTCTGATGCAAATATATATTACCTGATCTTTTCTACAACATGGAATACATAAATTTGAATTAAGTGACTTTTAAGAACATTGACTATTGATCTGATAAACTATAATGGCAAGCGATCAGGAATTATTGTGTAAATAACCATTTTTCAAAATTTGTTATGTCATAAAAACTCTTATGAAAAGTACTTATGGTACCTTACCTGCTGAGTAACCACTTTTCAACATTAAGTACCTCAGCCAAAGATACATTCTAAAATTAAGCAGCTTTTAATTTATATATGATATTAAAAGAATGCTTTTAAATCACTCAGCATATACTTTTTTTGTACTTGTATGATTTTAAAATAGCTAAGCCGATGGTTGGTTTGATTTTTTTTCACTCCCTGAGAATGAAGATAATAGTAAAATAAGTGATCAAGTGGCAGCACAAGACTCATCAGTGGCTCTTTGTGACCATACAGCTTTTGTGACAATATGTACTAACAAAATGTGCATAGGTCCAAAGAAGTGTCTTTCAGCTCAAATCTCATTAAGAACTTCCTTTGAAAATTTGTTTGTGTCAGTTGATTTCCAGCAAAGGTGGAGATACCAGCTATCTATGCTCAAATCTAGAAAGGTCTTGCTGAGCAGGCTTTATGTCATGTACTAATAGAAGTAGGGGAGTTCTAATGGAAGTGATCTCCCTTGTCCTACTAGAGGAAAACAAAACAAAATAAAACAAAAAAAGGAAACAAACCAGCAACTGAGAAGGTGGAGTGGTTTGGGATGAAAGGCGCTGACACAGAAGAGCCTGCATGTACTGGAGCTGTTAAAGGCAAGCAGAACGGGGAGCGAGTGAGAATACATACAAATGGTGCTAAAATAAAGCATCACATTCAAGGAAACAGCCCTGCAATGAGGAAGAATGATGCCCACAGCTGGAATGCAGTGGATCAGGAGTGGAGCCCACAGAGGAGAAAACAGAGGTAAAAGGGCAATGCAAATCCCACCCACGCAGATTTCTCTGCTGGTGCATTCACTGGAACAGCAGCACACTGCAAGAGGGGTATCAGTGCCCTGTGACACGGTCACTTTGTTACAGTGACTCACCTAAACAGCCTAAATGTTGTGCAGGAAAGTGTTCCCAGTACCAGCAATATAACAGGGAAATTATTTTAGAAAAGACACTGGCGTGGAAAAACAAACAAGCAAGCACACAGAAATGGTCACAGGGATTTTCTGCGTGTGTTTTGGATTCTGTTGCTCTCACTGGAGCCTTACAGCTGCATCGACTCATGTGCCCCCCCAGTGCCTGTGAGGGCAAGAGTCCAGACTGTGACCCAAGGCTACCTCGTGTTTCAGTGGAGACCTCTGTCCTTTGGCAGGGGGACATTCCTATCTTTGTCTGTTTGTGCAATGTACCTACTCCTCTCTCCGATGGCATGGCAGGGAGTTCTCTTTCAACCAGGGGCTGTGCCACAGCAGTGCTGGAACAACAGTGAGTGTGGCTCCAAGGCTCAGAAGTTATGGGAAAGATCTCTGGGAACTGGAACTGACCCCAGCCTTACCCGTGTTCCTCTCTGGCTTTGCATAAAGCTGGCTTGACCCTCAGCGAGCACAAACAGGAATGACAGGGAAGGATAATTGCACTGTAAATGCCCCACAGATCACTGCAGGGAGGAGTTTCTTCGGGATAACAAACTGCAGTTTGTGGAAAGCTGTTTCTTGCAGGGGCCAGCATGTATAGAATTAAAAGGAAATTCAAGCAGAAGCAGCAGTGTCTTAACTATCTGCTTTTATTCCTGTTTTATCAACATGTATTTAGTGTTGTCTCTCTCTGTGATGCCACCCATTACCGGGCACAACGTTTGGAGCCAGAAGACATATATTTGCAATGAGAACATACTTCAGGGCAGCTTAGCACTGCCTCCCTCATGCCTCTCTCACCAAACTATATTTTTTAATCTTTGGCATACTGGGAACATGCTCCAAACAGCGTGTGTACCGTTCAGAGGTAACCTGGAGTCAAGGTGTCTCACCAAGAGTCGCCAGAACAAGCAACATGAGCTTCGGCCTCACATGGCCTGTCCCAATTTGCCCACGCTGAGGCCTCATGTTCCCACAGCAGATGCCAGTGCCTTGTGTTTGCTGGCTGCACAGATACTCTGAGGGAGTACTTAGGTATGCAGTTACAGACATATTTGCTTTTGCTCAGTTGCTGGGGTTTTTTTGTGGGATTTTTGTGTGCGTGTGCGTGAAGTGTTGGAACTTCCCCTTATAATTTCGGTGAGAGTTCAAAGTTTTTGGGGATATCTCCCGGTGTGCAACACCGTGCTGTTGCAAACTCTCCGGGTAATAAAATGTTGAGAACGTGACTGATTAAACGGAGGTGAATACATCAGAAACTGCTCTATAGGTATTCGGGCAAAAGGATAAATGTTCCATCTGTCTTGACTACATATGTGATTTTTCTGTTTTTAATTTCCCTGAATGTTCTAGGAAACAGCTTAGCAAGACCCGAAATTGCTATTTGTAATGTTTTTGCAGAAATTTTATAAAGTATGAATAAGCAGTAAAGTGAACCTACTTTTGCAGTAGCTAGATTCAAAAGAGTTGCACATAACCACTCAGGAAGCAAAACTCAGGTCCCTGGGCCTTGTGTCCAGCAGATTTAAATGCCACACACTCTCAGAATCACAGAATATGCCGAGCTGGCTCATGACAGATGTCTGGAGAACAATCAAATGACCAATACTTATTTGCAGGAACCAAATGCATGATTTCAAGTGAGGAATAAATTTTTTTTTTTAAAGTGCTTGGATCAGTAAAATAAAAGCTCCTGTTTGTCAAACAAATTATTCCCTGTGAACTATTGAGCCATTTGTCAAACAGCCTAACTTTTTTCTGTGCATTTTAATAATTGTTCAGGAATATTATTCAATATTTTTTATGAATGTCTGGTGGATAAGGGTCCTGTACAGTAAAAGGCATGTTTGATGTCAGCAGGGGTTCATGAGCAACCTAGGGAAAGGTCATCTTGGTGTCAAAGGCTGTAAGAAATGTCACATGCTTTCTCTTAATTAATGCAGGCTAGGAGAGAACCCTCAGGGAGGACACAAGATCAGAAGGAGGAAACAGACATTGTTGTACCAATTATCACTGCCTATTTGAGTGTCTCCCTCTTTGCGATTACCCCAATTTAACCAAACATGTAATTTCTAGGCTGCATCCGTTTATCATAAGTGAATCCACTTGGATGAGTGTTCGTTCCATATTTAAATATAGATAGACCAATCCTTGCCAGGTGCTGAGTTTGCTCAACTCCTACTGAAATTAGCAGGGGCTCAGCATTTTGCAAGAATCACTTAGCAGTGCCCAGAATTGGGTTCTTTATGTGTCTTATACATCAAACCAAAATCTGTGCTCCTCTAATGTCCATTTGCACAGTAACCCATATTTCTTCTGCTTCATTTATTAACAAACAGACATCCACTTGGTGTTTCTCCTAAACAAATGTTAGTGGCTGTCACTACTAGATACTTAGGCAAATTGAATGTATTCCTATTCCCTTTTGCACCATAGCAATATTATGCAGTGTACTTTAGCTTTCAGCTTTTCCTTATGTACAGAATATTTATGGTCCATTTTGGAGTTGTCATCCCAGCGCTTGGGGTCATTTTCTTATTAAACACTACAATATTAAAGCCATGGAGCACAGCAGGTGGTGTGTTTCTGGCTATTTTGTCATGCTTCAGGCTGAGTTATCATCTTCCACTCAAAATAATGTCATATTGAATATTAGCACAAGAAAAAAAAAAATCCCAGTAAAAACAGATCATTAAAAGTATTAAAAAAAAAAAAAAAAAAAAGTTGCATTGTAAGTTCCAAACTTACGTGGGGGAATTTTGCATGTGGGAGCTCTTCAGAGAGATAAAGTGATTGATTTTTATAAAAGTTGGCATGCATGACCAAGGGCAGATGGTACATAAATTTGGGCCCCGGTCTTACATTCTGCTCCGTGTAGGTGGACCACTGAACTGCTGTGATTGAGAAAAAATAATACAACCGTGAACAGATGCAAGACTCTTGGGTGTGATGATCAGCCTGTAAGACCAGGACCCAAACTTGCAGTGCAATAATAATTTTTAAAGACAGCTTTTGGCAATACGTTCAAGCATATAAGCTATAATTTATAGGCTGCTGATTGATCGTGTCAAATGTGTGAGATGTCTCTGCTTAAGATACACTTTGTGCTGTTATAGATTGTGTGATAGATGCTTGCTCACACACCCTGGTAAAGAGTAGGTGCCAGCTATCATCACAACTAAGAAGAAGATATGAAATACTCTCCCTAGACAAACTTATTGCAGTGATGAGTAGAGGGATGACAGAAAGGTGAAGAAATGGAGATCTGGACATTTTAACAACACAAAGGACAATGTTAAAGGCCAATCCACATGGCTTCCTGAGTCAGAGGGCTACAAGTGGATCTCACGTCTTCTCTTTTTTACATTTGTTGTGTTCAGCTGATTTTCTATCACTGTAGCAACCTAACACATTAGTTCACTGTTGTTTCATGCCTGATGACACTAAAAATATAGCATTGTCCCAGAATATATGCCCCCAAACTGATGAATCACATGAGCCAAACGTACACCATTTCTTTACCCATTTTGTTGTATGTTTGCATGTGTAAAGCATACACTTTCTTCATATAGGGCAGCAAGCCTAGAAGGCTTCAGTTTGTTTAGCATTTTCCACATTGAAAAATGCCCAACATTCATATCTTTTTCCCTGTGAGCCTCCAGAAAGGAGTGCAAGGGTGAAGGAAGAGCACAAGATGGCCACAGGGAAAGGAACAAATAGATGGGCAAAGCTCAAAGGACAAATCCATTGTCCTTAGAGAAAGCAAGTCAAGGTATGTTAAAGAATTAATTTAGCAGTCTGGGGAAATGAGGGACAACGTATACTACGGATTGGGGCTCTCACCATTTACAAGCTTTTTTTAAAACCTGCAGTAACCAATCTACTTTTCCAGACTGTAACAGCAGATACCTTTCTTTCTTCTCCAATTACCTTGGGATTATCATAGTGCCTCTCTCAGTTCTCCACTGAATAATGGGGAACAGTAGAAGCACACAAAATTAGACAGCCATGTGCTGCATCCATTTTTAAAACATTGCCTATGCCTTGCAATTTCTCCAATTTGTTGTGCCATGGGCAGACTTACAAAGCAGCTTCAATCCATATTTCAGTTTCACATGATCCTTCAGCAATTCCAGAACTGCTAGGAACCTGGGCCATGCCCATGAACTGGGATGGTAGAAGGGATTCCCAACATTTAGCTCATAAATAAATGGGTTTGACTGCAGGTTCTAGAACAGCTGGACCAGGTAATTGTACAGAGTAAAGGAAATACCCAGTGATAACTCCATATAATTCTATTTCCGTCTTCGTTTTACCTGGCTTATGAAAATTTCAGTGAACAGATTTTGACTCACACTGGGAGACTCTCTCTTGTATAAATATCTATGGTAACATAGCAACAAGGGATTTTGTGTACAAAACCAGTTTTTCAACTAATTTCTCTTGGTTTCTAACACAATAAGCTCTGGAGGAAAAAAAAAAGTAAGTGGTTAGTTTGTCACTGAAACCTAAGCTCATGATTTCTTGGGCATTTTCAAGACTGGTTCAACACAATATTTATTACAGCTACATTCTTTAGTTGCAGATGCCTTGAGGATATTTTGCATTTGGTTTTTTATTGAAATTATACCAGTGCTAAGATGATCTTCAGGTGGTCATTCTACAACAAGTCTTTTTCTAGAGTTTGCGTTTTAAAATTAATCATGAAACCTTTCCACCATATGTTAAATAGGTGAGATAAAGTGTAAAAACAAGGGCTGTACCTGATACTTGAAAGTTGCTATTGCTGACAGCACTTCATCTTTTTCATACTCGTATTGGCTTTTATCCCGGCCCATCTATTCCTTAATGTAAGTGTTATAAATTGTTGTAAAGTGCCATAAAATATAATAAACATGAATCAATATTTCTTGGTTAAAAAACTTAGAAATGCTGATGAAGCTCGAGTTTATTATAGATGTCCTGAACCCACAATGTCCCTTTATTTTTTTTTTACCTTCATCATTTTTTCAGGTCTTGAGTTCATGTCTGCACACACATTCATTTTTCACAAATCAAAGAGGCAGTGAAAATTAAAATTACCAACAAGAGCAAATGAAGCATCTAACATTTTAACCAGTTGTTTTAGGCAAGATATCCTGTATATATCAGGTAGTTGTATTTGGTGCGTATGACCCACTAAAAGCAAATCCCTTACAGGTCTAGGGGATATTAAGCAGATGCATGGCACCAGAAAGTTTGGGGATTACTCAGGTACTTAAATTTAAGCATATGTTTAATTGCTGTGCTGAATCAGGGATTTAATGAAGAAGCACGGCACAGTAGTGCTATTTACCATAAAAATTCATCATT